TATGTCTTCCCACGAGATGATTAAATAATTCATGGTTCCTTGGTTTATTCAACATTTGTGTAAACTGATATGCTATTATTTGCCATTTTTCAGGCATTATGCCAGGCTTTGGATAATCAAAGGTGAATAAATAATAGAAGTTTGCATGGTTTTTGCTAAGGGTTGAATGTATAAGCAAACAAATATACTAAGGAAGTAGAGGTGTTTGTCATGCTTCTCGCTTATTCTGTATGTTAACTATACTTGACTTCATTCACTCATTTTAATTCAAGAACAACATATGTGCAGTGGATTTCCAATTCTCTACTTTTTCTCAGATTTGTCACTGAAATGAAGTTTAATATATTCGGTAGTGAAGAAGCACATTAGGATGTTTAATATGCAACACCAGCCACACTGTCTTCTCACTTATACCCACTGTCCACAATGTTACAATATTCACTCAATTGTTGTCCTAAAAAATATAATGCTTTGAACTCCAGTGTCTACCAGGCAATTTTAATGTATATCTTTAATGGTTTTCAGCCATCTAAACTTCTTTATCACCACAGATATTGTTGTATTTTGGGGGGTAAATATGTATCAATATATTTGGTCTCCTTTATTGCAGATATGCTTCCTCCATGTAGTTTTCTCAAAGAACAAGGCCGATAGCTGGGTTTATACACACAGACACACTCATAAAAATAAAGGTTATGCTGTTTGTATTAGGACTTTTATGCTGTTTAAGACATAAACCAAATAAAACAAGATTAAGTGGTAAAAAAAAAAATGTTGAGGAAGGCTGTTACAATATCAGTCATAGCTGAATTTTGAAACTAAAACATTGTCATCAGGATATTGTCTGTGTCCTTTTCCAGATTCTTTTTTATTTTATTCTCAGTACATGAAAGACAGGTGAATCTCCTGAAATAAACCCCAGAAGAAAGGATAATTTACTTGCATGGATTAACAAAAAATTTCTGAGGCTTGTATGGCAATTGTTTACCTGGGATGAGATGCCCATCTTAAGAGCATTTCTGTGTTGGTGCTGGAAACAAATGAATTGCATCTACTAATTTTACTAGGATTAAGGGACAAATAATCCTGACCATGCTAAAGATGCACACTTATGAATAGCAGACTTAAAACATCCCATCAGGGAATAAGTCATGGCATATTTGAAAATGGCCAAACTTTTAATGCACTCCCCTACCCAAACATAAATCCATCCAAAGAAGGCAGAAACCTCAACATATTAATGAAATTGAGCATAACTTCTATTCAAGCTTAGAAGTAAACCAAATATATGTAGACATATATGGGAAACCTAGGATGCCACAAGTAAAAATTACATTTTATGTCTCTTTAAACTTAGAAGAGATATCAGCAATTATAGGGAAGTAACTAAATAATGAAACAAAAACAAATGTATTGGGCTAAAGGGTGATATAACGCAAATCTAGAGAAACAAAAAATATATATAAAATTTTCTATTTTACAAATGAAATTTATGAGATATACAAACAATGATGCACGACCCATGATTAGAAGAAAAAACATGAAAACAATAAATAGTAAATATCTCTGACTGACCTCAGATGTTATAGTTAGGAGACAGACTTCAAAGCATGTATTGTAAATATGTTAAAAATCGAATGAGAACTATGCTTATAAATTAAAATACAAAAGCAATGATTCATTTGAAAACTATAGAACATTGGTGAAAAATTTGAGTACACAAATAAATGAAAAAAATTTCCAAGTTTATGAGTCAGAAGAATTAACATCATCAAAATGTCCATATTACCTAAAGCAATATACTGATTCAGTGCAATCCCATCAAAATGTCATTGACATTCTTCATAGAAATAGAAAAAAAAATCTTAAAATATGTATAGAACCACAAGAGACCCCATATAGAGAAAGCAGTCTTGAATACAAAGAACAAAGTTAGATATGTCACACTTCCTGACATCAAAATATAATATAAAGCTACAGTAAACAAAGCATCATAGAACTGGCATGAAAACAGACAAATTGACCAGTGGAATAGATAGAGAGCACTGAAATAAACCCATGCATTTACAGCCAACTGATTTTTGACAAAGATGCCAAAAATACACAATAGGGAATAGGCAGTCTCTTCAACCAAAGGTGCTGTGAATACTGAATATCTACATGCAGAAGATTGAAACTAGACCCTTATCTCCCACCATATACAAAAACCAACTCAAAATGGATCAAAGGCCTAAATTTAAGACCTGAACCTACAAAATAACTAGTAGAAAACAAAGAAGAAATGCTACAGGAAATGGGAGTGGACAGCACGTTTATGAGTGAGACTACAAAGGCAAAGGCAACTAATGCAAAAATACATATATGGGACCATATCAAACTAAAGAACTTCTGCACAGCAAGGGACACTGTCAACAATGTGAAGAGACAACCTACAGAATGGGAGGAAGTGTTTGCCAACCACACCTCCGACAGGAGTTAATATCCAGAATATATAAGAAACTTAAGTGGCTCAACAACAACAACAAAACGAACAAATAACCCAGTTAAACAGTGGGCACAGGATCTGGGCAGACATTTCTCAGAAGACATACGAGTGGCCATAAGGCACAAGAAATAATGCTCAACATCCCTAAACAAGGAAATACAAATTAAAACCACAGTGAGATATCATCTTACCCCAGTTAGTATGGCTATTATCAACAAGACAAAATAACAAGTGCTGGTGAGGATGAGGAGAAAAGGGAACTCGCGTGCATTGTTGGTGGGAGTGTAAATTGGTACAGCCACTGTGGAAAGCAGTATGGAATTTCCTCAGAGAACTAAAAATAGATCTACCTTGTGATCCAGCTATCCCTCTACTGGGTACTTACCCAGAAGAAATGAAATCAATACATCAAAAAGACCTACACTCTCATGTTCATCGAAGAACTATTCACATTAGCCAAGAGATGGAATTAACCTACATGTTCATCAACAAATGAATGCATAAAAATAAAAACAAACAATCAAAACCTGTGGTATACATACACAGTGAAATACTACTCAGCTATTAAAAAAAAAATCTGATCATTTGCAGCAACATGGATTGAACTGGAAACCATCATGCTAAGTGAAGTAAATGGGGCACAAAAAGAAAAATACTGCATGAAATCACTCATATATAGAATCTAACAAAAACTTCTGAGGTCTACATGGCAATTTTTTTACATGAATCAGATGCCAATCTTAAAACCATTACTGTGTTTTTGCTGAAACAAATGAATT